TTTTCACTTTATGTTTCTGTGTGGGAGCAAACTGTTGAAATCCTTACTTAATGTATACTAAGCTGATCTTCTGTATATTAAGATAATCGAAAATGAATCTTGATGTGAATGGAAGGGGAGAGGGAGTGGGAAAGGGGAGGGTTGTGGGTGGGAGGGACGGTATGGGGGGGAAGCCATTGTAATCCATAAGTCGTACTTTGGAAATTTATATTCATTAAATAAAAGATAAAAAAAGAAGGAAGTTTATAACAATTGTTGTCTACATCAAGAAATGAACAAAATTGAAACAAAAAACAATACAAAAGATCAGGGAAACCAAGAGCTGGTTTTTTGAAAAAATAAACAAAGTTGACACACCATGGCCCAACTAACCAAAAAAAGGAGAAAGAAGACTTATATTAATAAAATTAGAGATGAAAAAGAAATGTTAGAACAGACACCACAGAAATAAAAGGGATCACCATAAATTACTGCAAAGAGCTTTATGCCAACAGCCAGGAAACCTAGAAGAAATGGAAAGATTCTTGGACACATACAACCTATCTAAATTGAGCCATGAAGACACAGAAAACCTAAACAGATCCATAAACAAGATGGAAATTGAATCAGTGATAAAGACCCTCCCAACACAGAAAAGCCCAGGACTGGATGGCTTCACTGCTGAATTCTACCAGACATTTAAAGGAGAATTAACTCTGATTCTTGTCAAGTTATTCAAAATAATTGAAAGGGAGGGAATCTTCCCAAATTCTTTTGATGAAGCCAGCATCACCTTAATTCCTAAACCTAAAAAAAGATGCAACAAAGAAAGAGAACTGCAGACCAATTTTCCTGGCTAAGACAACACTGGCCAGAACATGGCTTCAGTGTAAGCACAGTGACAGGTGCAGAGGGTGGGAGCCAGGGTGTCTTTCAGTTGTGTTTCCCCCGCAGGAGATGGGTATGACTCTCCCTTGCCACAGTTGTGGGTTGTGCTTGTGAAGAGCCTCCTGCTGCAATTGCAAACGGAACTATCGAAGATTCAGACTCCTCATGCAGGCTGGACTGCATCCCACCTCCAGGTAAGCCGGCAAGCCTGCCTTCAGTGACAGATCAGGCTGAGGAAAATAGAGTAAAGAGTGGCATCGGGACACGGTGAGCACAGTTATGACTGCAGGGAGTCACTGCGGAATGAGAACTGGCTTATCTAACCAGTCCCCCTTCTGTGCATTTTGTACATTTCTTTCAAAAGACCTGCCTGATTTCTGTGGGCAAAGGGGGACAGTGGTGGCTCTGACCATGGCCCATTTTCCTATCACAACCATTCACAGATTTAAACATACTAGAAGAAAATATCAGAGAATAAAAAGGAAAGAAACTCAGAGTATAGGGACGATCTGAGTATTATACTTAACCAAGAGGCCATAAAAGAAAAGAATGATAGATTCAACTATACTCATATATACAGGTTTTCATGGATAAAAGTTTTATGCACTCAAAAGATAAATAGAAAAAAGCTGAATGTTTTCCTATATAAGGACCTAAATCAACAGGACAAACAGCAACTGCACAGTTTTGAAACACAGTGGGAAAAGCTTCAAAATCTTGATGACTTCAACAATAAAAGTTTATTTCTCAGCAGTGCTTTGTATCCATCATGGGTCAATGGGTCTCTTTTCTATGAGAAAAGCTTATAAGCTTATGCTTATAAGCAGCTACCTTTGAATACATTAAAATGTATTTATTTATCCATTTAATTTGAAGGCAGAAAGAGACTGAAAGACAAGAGATCCCCCATCTGCTGGCTCACTCCCCAAATGCCCAACACAGCCAAGGTTGGGGATGGGCTGAAGCTGGTGCCCAGGAGTCTGTAATTCAGTCCAGGTCTTTCATGTGGGTGGCAGAGAGTTGACCACTAGAGCCATCTTCTGCTGCCTCCCAGGGTGCACATTAGCAGGGAGCTGGAATCAGGAGCAGTGCCAGGACATGAATCTAGGCACTCTGAATGCGACGGGAGCTTCCCAAATGGCATCTTTGGGACGTCAAACACCTGTCTGGCTGACCATACTTTCTTGATGATTCTGGCAAAGGATCACTGACTTCAGGATCTTTCACTGGAACTAAATGCAGGTCTGACCATGACATTCCTCTAAGTCTCTCACAAACCACTGGCCAGAGCCACAACTGTGGTCCCTTGAAAATACAGAAGGACCAGGCTGGACCATACACTGTGTGCCTGGAAGGAGGGAGAAGAGGATCCTGGAGGGCAGCACTGCGGTCTGTTTAATCATGGTGTGTCACATCACCAGTCCGTAGTCTGTGGATTGTTTGGCTGCCCCATTGAAGGTCTAGTCAAACAAAGGCGGTGGCAGATTTCATTGCATTTCACATGCTGGTAATTAAAGAAGTAAAAAATTCCCCTCTTTCCGAAATTGGTAGCAACAGTTTTCTGGTCAACAGAGTGAATCTGGGGATCTGTGAGGTAGATGAGCCCTTTTCCATCACCAGTCACCCATCCTAAAAGAGAAATGAATAGTCTGAGTGTTAAATCCCCATAAGTGTCAGTCAAGCATTTTGAAGCAAATACATACATGAACACACATACATGTACTACATAAGCACATATGTACACACTCTTAAATAGATAACTTTAAAAAATTAACTGCATCCTGGTCTTGTTTATATTTAGAAAATTTCTGCTAAGGAATCTGGGCTGCATATTCCAATAATGGGTTTAAAAGAGAGAACTGAATATTGAATAATTATTTTTTCAAATATGAGGTACTCTAATCACCAATTTTCAAGGAATTAGAGAGAAATAAAACACTTAGAATATTTATTAAAATCTTAAGATTGAGTATTTTGTCATTTAGAAATTTCTTTGTTGCCTTACTCATTAATTCATATGTTCAGCTTTTTATTCAATAAATGCTTGTTGAATGCAGATTCTGTGCCAAGTTCTGCACCAGGCACTGGAGATACAGCAGTGAAGAGAAGGTCATCATAAATCTGAACACACTAAGCTACCATTCCTGTGAAGGGGACGTATCAGTGTTATAAATAAGGATAATATGTAATATGACAGGGAAGGATAAATGCTACGGAAGGGAAACACAGAAAGTCCTGGGTGGTTATGGAATCAACTAGAAATAATAAATCTCAATTGTCATTAACAATATGGAGTATTCACTAATATAATTTTGATGACTATAATGCCAGATAAACTGAAACAAAGGAAAAATATTAACGTTGACTTTTTAAAAAGTCAGGTTTAAGTTTACACTGCTTTCTACTCCATAATGATCCCAATTATGGAACTTGATGCCACACTTCTATTTTTCATTATTTTATTTTTTTTAAGATTTATTTATTTACTTGAGAAGAGGCGTAGTTACAGAAAGAGAGGTCTTCCATCTGCTGATTCACTCCCCAAACTGCCACAATTGCCGGAGCTGAGCCAATCCAAAGCTAGGAGCCAGGAGCCAGGAGCTTCTTCCAAGTCTCCCATGTGGGTACAGGGGCCCAAGCACTTGGACCATACTCTATTGCTTTCCTAGGCCATCAGCAGGGAGCTGGATCAGAAGTGGAGCAGCTGGGACTAGAATCTGGACCTATAAGGGATGCTGGTGCTGCATGGATGCTTAATCTATTACATCACAGCTCCAGCCCCAATGCTGCTCTTCTAAAAATGATAAAGGACTGAGGAAAAGCAAACATGAAAAGAGATTTTGACACATGAAAAAATGTGGTGTTGGGAAATTTGAGGGACAGGTATCTAGTGTAGCAGTGAACATGCTACTTGGGAGGCCCACATCCATACCCGAGTGCCTAGGTTCGGCTCCCAGCTATGCCTGCAGTTCCAGCTTATTGCTAATGCATGATCATTAAACAGCAGGTGACGGCTCAAGTATTGAGTCCCTGACACCAATGTGGGAGCCATGGATTAAGTTTCTGGCTCCTAAGCCTGGCTGTTGCAGAAATTTGGGGCATGAGTCAGTGGATGGGAGAGTGCGCACTCTCTCTCTCTTTCTCTCTCTGCTTTTCACATAATAAATAAATAAAATTTATACAGAAAAGTATGCTATATCACTTAAACCCACTTCTGTGGAATAAAAGAGGTGCTATGAATTTGCTCTGAAATTAAGTCCAACAGAATATGAGCCAGAGCTTGTCACTGATCACACCGCACCTTAGGTAACTGGAGAAATTCTAGACGTCTTTTTTCTTTCAGAGATCACCTGCTATAAAGGGTAAAATCAACTAATTTAACTCCAAACAGTAGCCCATATGCTGAACAATCTACTAAATAATAATTAGTTATAACACTTCACACTTATATACAGTTAATATTCAACATAGAAAATTACCTCCAATTTCACGTACCTTGTAAATCAACCACAACGTCTTTATGATTAGAATACTCATAAGAAAAATGGCCATAAGCCAGGCCATATTCTGTAGCTTTGTATTCTGTTTTCACTACTTTTGTATTATTTGATAATTTTACGAATTCTCCCAGCATGTATGGTTCCACACTGACACACCCCTTTATCGTCCTGCCTTCCAAAATCTGAAAAACAGAAATAGGAGACAGCATAGCACAACGGTAAAAGCCACAGGCTTTGCAGCTGGGTAGTTCTCAATTTGAATACAGGCTCTGCCACTTAGGAGCTTATTGCTTTGCTTCTCAAGATTCAATTTCCTCATCTGCAAAATGGGTATAACAATGACTGCCTTTTAGCTTTGTTGGATTAGATGAGAAAATTCATGTAGAGTGTTTAGCATTGTATGTGGCAAATAATAGGACTGAAAGTTATTATTCTTTTTTTAAAGATCTATTTATTTATTTGAAAGGCAGAGTTACAGAGGGGCAGAGGCAGAGAGAGAGAGGGAGAGAGAGAGAGAGGGAGAGAGAAAGAGAGAGAGAGAGAGAGAGAGAGGTCTTCCATCTGCTGGTTCACTCTCCAAATGGCCTCAAGGGCCAAAGCTGATCTGAAGCCAGGAGCCTGGAGCTTCTTCCAGGTCTCCTACTCAGGTGCAGGGGCCTAAGGACTTGGGCCATCTTCCACTGCTTTCCCAGGCCGTAGCAGAGAGCTGAATCGGAAGTGGAGCAACCAGGACTTGAACTGGCGCCCGTATGGGATGCTGGCCCTGCAGGCGGCGGCTTTATCCACTACACAATAGTGCTAGCCCCTTAAAGTTATTATTCTTCATATATTGAAGTGTTTACCAAGGAAAATTAGGCCATACAATGATCTATTCTGTCAGGGAACACAGCAATGATCATTCACTGGAACTCCGCATTGAAATGCCAGCTCAAGCATTTATGCAGGATGTGATGTACTTTGTAGAGCTGTTTTGGAGGTTAGAGTTAACATTTGTAAAAACCTGGTATTGTATGTGACATAAAGAAGGTGAAACATGAATGACACCCATTATAATATGAGTAGTAAATGAAGGGTCAAAATTATTTCTGGCCGATGGAAAAAATTTTAAATGTGAATGCGCTAATGGTTTAATGTATTTGGGGGAGCAAGGTGTTCCTTTAGAGAAGAAAAGACTCAGTGAGGAGAGTTGCCTTTCTCTATTTTAAGGGCTACTTTGATTGAGAGACTGGTCTCATTGGTCCCAAAAGACGGAGCTGTCTTCCATGGGCGGAAACTAGAGGAAGATATACTTGGGCAAAATCTAGGAACTTCTTAATGATTAAAACTATTTGTAAGCAAAGGGATAATAATAATTTTTCTTACTAAAGGTGTTAAGCTACAGCTTGTATCACCTGGTTGCCAGGGAAGGGGGCCACCAGATGTCAAACAGGGGATCTGTACATCATGATGAGGGGATAACGTGTACTAATTTGGATCTTTAGGGTCTTTTCACCTTCTGGAAGCACAGAGACAACACCAAAGGAAAATTTCCTAAAAAAATACTAATTTGACCATGTAGGATCAGATCCCAGGACCAGCTGCCAAGCAAGTGTGATTTGGAAGATAAGAACAATTCAGTTAGGGGACAAAGTAGATGAGGCAGATGAAGTAGCTGTTCCCTGAGTTGACGAGATGTTTTCAGAATGACAGTGGAGGGAGGAGGTTGACAATATAAATCTAACCTAGTAAATAATTATAAGTCTGTTGAAATGAACCTTTGCTTTCTTTAATCTTACCAGTAATATTGTGGATGGGATGTAGAATATCTGTGTTGGAATCTTGTGTTCATAGAGTCTCTTGTTAAACTCCATCACGTAGTGCTGTGCTGTCATCTGCCGCTCCACATCGATGAAGTGGGGCCAGAGTCCCTTCTCCTCCTTATATTCCTTCCCAACATACCTAGGAAATGCAAGAGGGATCTCCTTTACTATAGAACAAGAGAGACGAGACTAAAAGGAGGATGCGAAAATGCTTGAATGATGTTATTTCTTCTCTGCCTTGGACAACCAACATTAATTACTGTGACTTATCTTATGATTCAAATAATTCTGTGAAAGTCACTAGAAATGGAACGTGAATGATGCTGGCTGACCTGGAATGACAGGGATTATAAAAGGAAAGTAGGCCAGCGCCGCTGCTCACTAGGCTAATCCTCCGCCTTGCGGCGCCGGCACACCGGGTTCTAGTCCCGGTCGGGGCGCCGGATTCTGTCCCGGTTGCCCCTCTTCCAGGCCAGCTCTCTGCTGTGGCCAGGGAGTGCAGTGGAGGATGGCCCAAGTGCTTGGGCCCTGCACCCCATGGGAGACCAGGAGAAGCACCTGGCTCCTGGCTTCAGATCAGCATGGTGCGCCAGCCGCAGCGCGCCAGCCGTGGCGGCCATTGGAGGGTGAACCAACGGTAAAGGAAGACCTTTCTCTCTGTCTTTCTCTCACTGTCTGCTCTGCCTGTAAAAAAAAAAAAAAAAGTGGGTAAGTCAAAGCGGTCAGCGTGGAGTGCTTGGAAGTACATTAATCCTGGAGCCAGATCTTCCACTATCTTCAGTGGCCTTCTACTGGTCAAGCTTTCTTCTATTCTTTCCTTTTATGATTCATCTCCGCAAATGCTTACTTTCCATCAACACCTATTTTGTGCATAATACTGTGTTGGTGCTGAATGTCGCAGGGGTGGGGAATGCCCAGCTTGGGCCCCTGGAATCCTCTGGTTTGGCCCTGCCAAGGCAACCACAGGTGGGGCTCAAAATTCAATATATCAGTTTATATAAGTTTATACTTTTTAAAGAAGATATATTTATTTATTTGAAAGTCAGAATTACAGAGACAGAGGGAAAGACAAAAAGAGAGAGGTCTTCCACCGCTGGCTCACTTCCCAAGTGGCCACAATGGCTAGGACAGAGCCAGGTTGAAGCCAGGAGCTAGGAGCTTCATCCAGATTTCTCACGTGGGTGCAATGGACCAAGCACTTGGGCCAGGCTCTGCCGCCTTTCCCAGGCCACTAGCAGGGAGCTGGATCAGAAGTAGAGCAACCAGGACATGAATTGGTGCCCTTACAGGATGCCCACGTGGCAGGCGGCAGCTCTTCCTGCTATGCATCAATGCCAGACCAGAGTTGATACTTTTGTATGGCCCATGAATGATATTATAAATATCCAAATGACTCTTGGAAGGAAAAAGGTTATCTGCTCCTGTTCTAAAGAAAGTGTGAGACATGGTTTGTCTATTTCAAGGACTTATCACATAGCTGGGAAGAGAAGATAAATGAGGTAAACCTGAAATGTTAAAAAGTGCAAAGCAGTGTTATACTTTACTGTACTTTATACTTGGGATGAGATCGTATGAATTGATGAGCAGTATCACATGTTGCCAGGGTGATCTCCAAAAATCAGATGGAATTGTCTGAGTCATAGACATAAATCAGAGTAAACCCTTTCTAGAAATCTATGAATCCAATATGTAATCCAAGGAGAGAGCGGCTTTCACATTCATGAGGATGAGAAAGGAAACCTGACAGTGGGGGTTACCTGTGTGGTATCAGAAGTCAACCTGGGCCAGTGCTGTGGAGTAGTGGGCTAAGCCTCTGCCTGCAGCACCAGCATAGCATACGGGCGCCGGTTCTAGTCCTGGATGCTCCTCTCCCAATTCAGCTCTTTGCTATGGCCTTGGAAGCAGCAGAGGTTGGCCCAAGTGCTTGGGCCCCTGCACCTGAGCAGGAGACCAGGATGAAGCTCCTGGCTCCTGGCTTCATTTTAGCTCAGTTCTGGCCATTGCAGGCAGTCATTTGGGGAATGAACCAGTGGATGGAAAACCTTTCTCTCTGTCTCTCCCTCTCTCTGTAACTCTACCTCTCAAATAAATAAAATCTTTTTAAAATCACCACCACCACCACCAACAAAAAGAAGTCAATCTGCAGAGGAGCACCAATCACAACAGGGAGGGAGGGTCTCAGTGTTGCAGGAAGTCCTGCCCTGAGACCTACAGAGGTGTCAAACCAATTCAGAACTTGCATCTGGGGGTGAGCATTTGTCTAGCAATTGAGACGATGTTTGGGATGCCTGTATCCCATATCTGAGTGCCTAGGTTTGAGTGTTGGCTCTGTTCCTGATTCCAGCTTCCAGGTAATGGGCAACCTGGTGGGTTGCAGGTGATGACCCAAATGGTTGGGTTCCTGCTACCTTCCACAGGACACCTGGATCAAGTTCCCAGCAACCAGGGTATGCCTGGCCCAGAGAATCAGTGTTGGCATTTTGGAAGAGAACCAGTGGAAGGGAGCATTTCCTCTCTGCTTCTCAAGTAAGTAAAATAAATAAACTTAAATATTCAAAAAGAACTTTCATTTGTTGACTGAGGCTAATGATGTGCACCAAAGGGCCAACCCTGTGAGTGCTGGCACCGAAGCATTTCCTGAGCTTTCTGCCAAGGGCCTTCAAGCCTAGGTACAGAGCAGCAATTTAGGAATAGAGGCCTATCTCATCTTTCGTCTTACACCATTTTGTAGGCTCATGCTTTGTTTAGTAAGGACTTATTTGCGGTGAATGCGCATTTTTTTCTTTTAATCTGAAAATGTCTTTATTTTGCCTTCCTCCGGAAGAGAAAGTATCTCTAAGTTTGCAGACTTGCAATGTTTCTGATTTCCACAACTGCAGTCAAGAAATTAGCAGTAAGTCTAATTGATATTTCTTTGTATGTAAACTGTCTTTTTTCTTTGATTGCTTTAAAGTTGCTTCTTTGCCCTTGGTGTTATGAAGTTTAACTATTGTGGATCAGGAGTGCGTCCCTCCTTCCTTTTCTACCCTCCTCAGGATTCACTGTCACTCCTCTATCTAAAGACTAATGTATTTTTAGTAATTCTGGAAAATAACCAGAAATTATCTACTCCAATATGACGTCTTTTCTATCTGCTCTGTTGTATTCTCATCAGATGTATGCTTAACTCTCACTCCATTCTCTATGTCTCTTTTCCTCAATTTATTTCTCATCTCAGACCCTCCTGATGTATCCTGGTGTTTTAGCTTCCTAGTGCTGCTGTAACAAAATACCACAAACTGAGTGTTTTGAATAGCAAAAAAAATTTGATTCTCTCATAGTTTGGAGGCCAAGAAGTCCAAGATCAAAGTGCCAGCAGGGCCCCACGCTCCCTCTGAGGGCACATGGAAGGATCTGTCCCGGCCTTTTTCCTTGGTTCTGGCAGTTCTCACCTTGTGGCCGTGAAACTACAGACTTCATATAGCATTCTCCTTGTGTGCATGTCTATCTCCAAAGTTCCTCTTTTTATAAGGATATCAGTTGTACTGGAGTGAGGCCTACCCAACTCCAGCATGGCCTCCTCTTAACAACCAATTACACCTGCAATGATTCTATTGCTAAACACCATGCTAAGTTGAGGGACTTGGAACTTAAACATACATTTGGGGATGTGGGGGGTCACACCTCATCTCACAACACCTGTCATTGAGTGACTGTGGGAAAGCTTCTCAACACTTCTCTGCCTCATTCCCTTATCTGCAAAGTGGAGATGATAATAGTGTCTACCTCATAGACCCTGTGAGAATTGACTGAATTAGTGTATACATAATTTAAAACAGGGTCTGGGGCCCAGTAAGGGCAGTTACATGTTACAGTTACAATTACAATCAACTTTTTTTTTTTTTTGACAGGCAGAGTTAGACAGTAAGAGAGAGAGAGAGACAGAGAGAAAGGTCTTCCTTCTGTTGGTTCACCCCCCAAATGGCTGCTACGGCTGGGGTGCTGAGCCGATCCGAAGGCAGGAGCCAGGTGCTTCCTCCTGGTCTCCCATGCGGGTGCAGGGCCCAAGCACTTGGGCCATCCTCCACTGCCTTCCCGGGCCACAGCAGAGAGCTGGACTGGAAGAGGAGCAACCAGGACAGAATCTGGTGCCCCAACTGGGACTAGAACCCAGAGTACTGGGGCCACAGGCGGAGGATTAGCCAAGTGAACCACGGCGCCGCCCCCCCCCCCTTTTTAATTTTTAAGTATACTTTTACTGTCTAAAGAGATATCAAATTTTTCTCTCTCCCTTTCTATTTTTTAAACATTATTTGGATTTGGGTGAAGAATAAGGTGCATTTAAAAAACCTTGGATTATAGATTTTTTAAATATACAAATGGTGCAAAAGTAGACCTCACATCTCATGAGGACATCTTCTGCTTACTAATTTCTCTGGTGAGTTTGTGTTCAGTTTTCATCAAGAACTAAAAATCTTCTAGGCATTTGCCTCAGTGGGATGGGATTTTTTTTAAGACAACTGTTCCTCTAGGGATGTAGGTGTGGCCAAGTTTCTAAGTTATTCCTGCATAGTTTCTGCACTCTCTTCCTCTCATGTGTATAGTATGGTTATAGCTGCTTGCTCATTCCAACCCCACCCCAAATTTCTGTGGAGGTTGCTTAAAGCATTCAGTCATTGTTTCTATCCCTGGACAGAGTTCATTCCTGGCCTCACAGGCGTTTCCAGCATTTTTTTCTTCTTCTTTTAAAGGTTCACTCATTTAATTAAAATTGTTGGGGCCGGCGCCGTAGCTCACTTGGTTAATCCTCTGCCTGCGGCACCGGCATCCCATATGGGTGCCAGGTTCTAGTCCCAGTTGCTCCTCTTCCAGTCCAGTTCTCTGCTGTGGCCTGGGAGAGCAGTGGAGGATTGCCCAAGTGCTTGGGCGCCTGCACCTGCATGGGAGACCAGGAGGAAGCACCTGGCTCCTGGCTTTGGATTGGTGCAGCGCCGGCCATAGCAGCCATTTGGGGGGTGAACGGAAGGAAGACCTTTCTCTCTGTCTCTCTCTCTCTCATTGTGTATATCTTTACCTGTCAAAAAAAAAAAAAAAAAAAAAAAAACCAACAAAAAAACCCTGTGGCTTTCCTAGTTCAGCTTTTTGTCAGCATTGTCAGTGAACTAGTTCAAGGTTCTTCGGTTTGCCATTTGTCTGGGAATTCTGTTTTTCTAATCTGCACAATGGGGCAAAAAATTTTTCCTCAGTGGCTTTGAGAGCTTGTATACAGAATATCAGCAAAAAGGTAGATGTAACGTGGGTCTTTCATATGTAGTAACGGTTATTGACAAATTATGAAGGGGAGCAGGAGCAAAAATCTGGAAATGTATATTTTGGCCATTTTCCCCCTGCTCTCTTGAAAGGTCATGAACAGTTACTCAATACAAGGGAAGCTTAGTCCATTCTACACTGGAGACACGGAGGTCTTCCAGCAGTACCTCCCCAGAGTTTCTTCTTGGTGCAGGTGATGAACCCAAAATGCATTTCTTTGTCTGCCTTTCTTCTTCACATGCAGGTATTCCCCCAAATACACTGCTGTTTCCTGGGCTGTCCACAGCTCAGACGTTTTGGAATATTTTAACAAAAGAGCATCTGGAAAAAAAGTAAGATGAAAATGAATTTTATTTTCAACTGGATATTTCCAGTCACGAATAAAGTTGAAGTGACACAGGCCCTAAACCAGCTCACCTGAAGTCTTCAACTTCTTTGTATATTTCCTCAAATTTCTACCTGTTCTATGACTACTGTTAAAAAGTTAAGTGAAATATAATAAAATGGTAACACTTTTCAAGTTCCAGGGAAGAATAGCTGTGGATTCATGAAAATCTCTTATTTGTGACGGCGAAGGGTTAAGTAAGACCAGAGTTTCTACCTGAAAGTCAGGGAAAACAAATGGTTTTAAAACAGCAACACCTTAGACCATCTGGAGACAACTGATACGCACTTGCATCTTCTAATCCAGGTGCCAGATGACAGAAGTGACTACGTATGCCAAATCACACAAATAGAAATAAATAAAACTAAATTCTTTTTAAATGGTTGTTTCTATTTTAAAGGTTATTTATATTTATTTGAAAGGGGGGAAGAAAAGAGACCTTCTGCTTGCTGTTTATCTCCTCAAATAACAGCCAGGGTTGGGCTAGCCCAAAGCCAGGAGAGGAACTCCTTCTGGGTCACCCATAGGAGTGGTAGAGACCCATGTACTTGAGTCATTGTCTGCTACTTCCCAGGGCACCCACTGGAAGGAAGCTGAATCAGAAGTGGAAAAGCTGGGACTCCAGCCAGGTATGTGGGGCTCCCAAGCAGCAACTTACCCACTCCACCACAGTGCCTGTCCTGGAAAATAAATAATCTTACCTGATAGCTTCCTGAAATTCCAGGGATTCTAGCGTACACATGAAAGCGCACCTTAATTTTTTCTTAATTGTTTTAAGTTGGGGAAGTCCAGGAATTGAGAAAATGTGGCTACCACACAAAGATGCAAATTCAAATGAAAAAGACAAGAGAAAAAAAAATAAAGGTTATTTCGCCCTGCATGAACAGCAGAACAGCGCAGAGCAGGAAAGCGTCTCTGTGAGTGAAAGATGAACATGAGCTCTAAGGAGGAAAGGCAGCACTTTGGTGACCAGTATAAAATGAGGTGAACAAGGACTTTCCCAGCTTAGGTTGTGAGAGTGGAGGAAAGAAGGGGAAACACTTAGGATAAGCCCAGCTCTCGGAGGGGGGATGCCTGTGGATGGGAGGGCGGGGAAGAGCTTGGGAGATGGTTTCCAAATTGGGTGACTCAGTCCGAAGAGGAGGATGGAAACGGAAGGTCAGCAGCTTGCACACACAGAGCAAGGGAGGTGCAGTGAGAGAGCTCTGACCTTGTTTCCCCTCAGGTGATTTTTCAACCACAGATTGGCTCATATTAACAATTGACTAAAATAAATCCGTTGTGGAACTATCAAATGCAATTACGAAATTGCAGAATCTCACAGCAAGCAGGAAATTCTATTACTAAAAAGTTTACTATTTTGGAAACCACCTGATCTGTATTTTAGTCTGAATTTAAAATGGCAGGTAAAACCTGTAATACTTTCAAGCAGAAGTCCTCACTATTGAATTTACACAGAATTATTGGTTGGAACTCTCAAAAAATACTGATGCTTGTATCTACACATCCCAGACCCACTAGGTGGGAATCTCTGGGTTGAAGGTTTGGAAGTTTTTGTTTGTTTGTTTGTTTGTTTAAAAGATTATTTATTTGAATGGGAAAGTGATGGACACACACACACATACACACACACATACACACAGAGAAAGAGAGGGAGATATCAATCTTTTCCATCTACTGGTTCATTCTCTATCTGGTCACAACAGTCAATGTTGGGTGGGGCCAAATTTAGGAGCCAGAAGCTCTGTCCTGGTCTCCCATGTGCGTGCAGGGGCCCAAGTACATAGGCCATCTTCTGCTGTCTTTCCAGGTGCATTATCAGGATGTTTGATCAGAAGCAGAGCAGCTGGGACTGGAACTAGGGTTCCAAGACAGGATGCCCCTGGGATGCCAGCATTTCAGGTGGTGGCTTAACTCACTGCACTACATTGCTGACTTCTGGAAATTTTAAAGGCTCCTCAGAGGAACCTCATATGTTGCCAGGATTGAGAATTAGTATTTCTTTCTTCCTTTTTTTTTTTTTTTACAGGCAGAGTTAGAGAGAGAGAGAGAAAGAGATGGAGAGAAGGGGGAGAGAGAGAGAGAGAGAGGGAGAGGGAGAAAAGTCTTCCAGCCGGCGCCGTGGCTCAATAGGCTGGTTGGGGCATTGGATTCTATCCCGGTTGCTCCTCTTCCAGTACAGCTCTCTGCTGTGGCCCAGGAGTGCAGTGGAGGATGGCCCAAGTGCTTGGGCCCTGCACTCGCATGGGAGACCAGGAGAAGCACCTGGCTCCTGGCTTCAGATCAGCATGGTTCCTTCTGTTGGTTCACCCCACAAATGGCCAGCCACTCCCCAAATGGTCAGAATGGGTGGAGCTGGGTTGATCTGAAGCCAGGAGCCAGGAGCTTCTTCCCAGTCTCCCATGTTGGTGCAGGGACCCAAATCTTCTGTTGCTTTTCCAGGCCATTAGCAGGGAGTTGGATTGGAAGTGGAGCAGCTGGGACTGGAATTGGTGCCCATATGGGATGCTGGCACCGCAGGTGGAGGCTTAACCTACCATGCTACCACATCGGTCCTAAGAATTAGCATTTATTTGTTCTTCTGACTTGCACTTTGCAATAATTTTTTATCAATCAAAGAGTTTTTCTATATGTTGAGAAGACATTTCTATGTTATTCTTGGGCTAAGAGAGAGTGAGAGAGAAAGAGAGAGAGAGAGAGAGAGAGAGAGAGAGAGCTTTCATTTCCTAAATGCTTGCAAGAGGTGAGGCTGGGGAAGGGTGTTATGGCATAACAGGTAAAGCCACTGCACCTACATCCCATATGGGCACCAGTTTGAGTCCTGGCTGCTCCACTTCCTATTGAGCCCAAAATTTAAAAAGTCTTTTAAAAAAAGGGGGTGAGGCTGTGCCAGGCTGAAGCCAGGTCCCCAGAACTCCATCTGGGTCTCCTGTATGACTGGCAGGGATCCAAGTACCTGAGCCATCATATGTTGCCTCCCAGGGTGTGCATTAGCAGAAAGCTGGGTCCGAAGCAGAGCAGGGACTTGAATCAGGCAGTCGGATATGAGATGTGGACTTCCCAACTGGTAACCTCACTGCTGGGCCAAGTATCTGCCTCTTCTTTAGTTTTATGCCATGTTAGACATAATGAAAGCTACATGGGTCTTGTTCAGACTGCCTGCTATGAGAAGCAATATTGGGCTGTTATCCTCAAGCAAGAAGTAGCTGCTGATGCAAGAACTGACACCAGTGGTCTAAATGCTTGTGTCTCATGAACATCTTGCTACTCCCTCAAAAAACTCATGTGTTCAAGTCCTAAGCCACAGGTGATAGGATAAGGAGAAGAAGATTTTGGTTGGCAATTAGGTCATAGGGGGTGAAGCCTTCAGGAACAGGATCAGTGCCCTTATGGGGATTGTTTCCAAAACAGACCTTGCCTCTTCCACAATGTGAGGACACAGAAAAAAGGTGCTGTTGATGAACCAGAAAGCAAGTTGTCACCAGGGAAATAAATGTCTTTTGTTTATAAGCTGCCTAGTTTATGGTATTTTGTATATCAACCTCAAAGAACTAAGTCTTGGCCAGCGCTGTTGCTCACTAGGCTAATGCTCTGCCTGTGGTGCTGGCACTCCGGGTTCTAGTCCCGGTTGGGGCGCCGGATTCTGTCCTGGTTGTTCCTCTTCCAATCCAGTTCTCTGCTGTGGCCCGAGAAGGCAGTGGAGGATGGCCCAAGTGCTTGGGCCCTGCACCTGCATGGGAGACCAGGAGGAAGCACCTGGCTCCTGGCTTCGGATCTTCGGATCAGTGCAGCACGCCAGCCGTAGCAGCCACTTGGGGGGTGAACCAATGGAAAAAGGAAGACCTTTCTCTCTCTCTCTCTCTCTGTCTAACTCTGCCTGTCATGCCTGTCAAAAACAAACAAACAAACAAAAAGAACTAGGTCTTGGTGCCTGGCCAATCCATTGATTGGCAAGAAACTGCTGAGGTGGACAGGCGTGAGCCTCTCTGCCACCAGAAGGGTGGTAGTTAACCAGGCCAAACTCTGTCCCCTGGAATTTGAATGGAGAAGAAACAGAACTCAGCGGGTTGGTAACGACAATCAGTGGAGAAGACAGATGATGCTGAGTGGATGAATAACATCTGGAGCTGCTCTAAACCCTGTTGCCCTTATGGTCTCATGTGTTCTTACAGCAAAATCCCAATATTTGTGGGATCACAGAGTGGCTTCATTGCTTGATAGAGCATAAAGGTCTAGCTCAGCATGAGAGGGATCCCCAAAATACACATTTCTCTGGGAACTCGCCAGCATGGAAAGCCTCACCTCTCTTTTACAAGCTCCAAGTGATCTACATAATGAACTTTTCAGAGGGCCTTACACACAGATGCTTCTTGAGGTTGTACCAATTGAAAAGGTTGTACTTACTGTGCGCTCGTTGGAGTTGATTGGGCTTGAACATTCCTGTATTCTCCAGCCTTCGCAGCAGCCAGTCATGCCTCACTCCCGCCAAGAGTTTTTCAAAGTCCTCAGGCTGCAGGGTGCGAGCCTCAAGGGTCTCTTGCCTTGTCTTTCCTGGCAGTGAAACAAAAGAACTGCCACTGGAATTCAGAAAGGACCACGAGGTTTCGCCCTCAGAGGAACCGCTGAAGAACGCAGGTGATTTGAGCCGCTGCGCCGAGGGAGAGCTGGGGCTCAGGCTGCAGCGGAGCGCGTGTGCAGGTCCCTCTCCTTCTTCCGTCGTAGTGCAGTCCTCACTGAGCACTGGGAAAGGACTGCTCCTGAGAGAGGAATTGGGGCTCTCAGCCCTCTGACCAGGTGGCTGCATCAGAACCCAGGAGCTGTAAGAGCCTTGTCCAGTTGTGGCGTGAACACCTATGCTGTTGAGTGGCTGGCCCTCCTCATCCACCGTGGAGGCATCAGGATCAATTCCTTGCTCCCCAGTGGAGTCATCAGGCCTTCCTGAGTCAGAATTTTGCACAGGCCAACGAGGAGCAAAAGAGCAACAGGTTAACATGGAACTGTTGCCCAGAGAATTGCCCGTGACTCTACGACTATCTAAAGGTTCATTCTCTGTGCTTTCTGCTGTTTCTCCTTCTGGGTCAGCCCAGGAGGGGCTTTCTCTAAATGTAGGGCCTGTGCCTCTTGTATTGACTTCCTTTTCCTTCTCTCTTCCATGCACCTCTGTAGCATCACAGTTGGCTTCTGGAAACTCATCTATTATTTCAAAGATTTCTTCTTGGACTGAAGGAAATGTGGCCATGCTCTTGAGTCCATCAGAATCAGAAGTCAACCAAAAAGCAGGACTATGTGAAGGCGTGGAGTGAGCACAGGTGTTTCTGGGTTTCCTGGTTTCCTGACTACCTTCTGGAACTTGTTCTGTCTGCCCTGCACCAGAGGCCAGCAAAGAGCCTGCTGTGTTATGAGAAGGGAAAGTGGCCAAGAGCATCTGTTGGTGCAGTTGGCTTTGAGAAGACCCTAAATTGGCACCCTTAGATGGCTGGAAAGAGAGAGCAAGGAGACCTGAAGACAATGGGTGCACAGCCCTGGCTTCCCTGTCCCCCAGCTCCTCAGACAAGGCTGTAGAACACTGAGTATCCACAAGATGCTCTTCTTTGCTGGTCTCTTTCCTAGCTGACCAATCATCAACTTCATAATTCACTTCCTCCCAGCTTGTAGAAGCAGACCCTGATAACTCGCACAAAGAACTAGAGCTCTGGTTGTCACTGAGAGATGTGCTCTGAACAGCTCCCCCCCCAACACTGTGACCTGGTGGCTCAGTCTCAGTCTCCATGTCTTGATCCACAGAGCCTTGAACTGCACCAGAATGGGTCCAGTTTCTACTTGCCACCTTTCGGAGCTTCTCCTGATCACTCTTGGCCATTTGGGAGGAAGCTCTTCCCAGGCCTTTTTGAGAACATGGCTTATCTTGAGTGGCACTCACAGTATCTATGTTTTTTGTTTCTGTTTTCAGAGCAGTGATACAGACTCCTGTTTGGGGATCATTCCGTTTGTTTCCACAAGCGCTTTCAAAGACCTCACACACTGAAGAGTGGTGCTGTGAATAGGTTTCAAGGATTTTTTTGAAGTCCACTTGCCCATACATGATGGGTTTATCAAGCCTGCTCTTGAAACTCTCTGGAACATAAGATTTGTCATCTAGATTTGAGAAGCTTTGAACTTGTAAGTGATCCTTGACCTGGGTGATGATAGACATGATTTCCTGAGACAGAGCTTCTCTGTCCTGACTTTTGGAGGAAGTACTGAAAGAGTACAGCTTTGCCATAGCTTCACCACAGAGCTTACTTGCAATACCCACCACCTCTGTCTCTCCATGGAGTCTTTGGTGCACTGTGGTGAGACCAAAAGCAGCTTTGACAAAACTATGAAGTTCCTGTTTTCCAGCAACTGGCTCATCACCTTTCTTGGTGAGGAGGCCAATTTCAAAGGCGTCCTTGGCTTCACACAGATACACATTTTTCTTGTCAGGAGGACAGTCATTAGAACTACTGTATGACAGCAAGCAGGTGCCACGGATATTCTGAAGAAAATACCAAATACAGAATCAGTTCTTGAATTGGAAACTGGACTCAGGACCAGCTTTTTGCAGAAGGGAAATCACTGGAAATATTATAGGAAAATGAATGCCAGTCATGAAAGTTCTGAGGAAAACATACCATCAAACAGAATTGAGGACCTGAGGTCTTGGTGAGTCAGAACAAGGGCCTGGGAAACTGGTGACTAACTGGCATGAAGCGGTGAGAAATTAGGTTGGACACTCAACCTCCTGTAACACTGAGGCTTTTGGATTGAACATAGATTTGTGGTTGCTGCTGTTTATTTTAGCAATCTTTACATGGGACACAGATATATCCCTTTGCAAATGAGACTGCTACATACAAGCACAGCATTCATTTAGTAATAGCCAGAACAATAGATTAGGGGTCTCCGAATCCATCTGTGTATTTGAATTGACTGGAAAATAGTAGTCCTTCGTGTTTGTGGGGATTTGTTTCTGGAATACTCCTTAAATAACAAAATTCACAGAGGCTCAAGTCTGTTCTATAACATGGCACAGTATTTGCATGTAACCCATGCACACCCTCATGTATAGTTTAAATCCTTTTGAGATCACTTACAGTACCCAATACAATGTATGTACTATATACATAATTGTAACACTGTATTGCTGAAGGAATAATGACAAAATTCTGTACGTGTTTAGTATGGCTGCAATTTTCTCAAATATTTTTAATTTATAGTTGGTTAACTCCATGGATGCAGAACCTAAGGATATAGGGGGTCAACTGCATTTCAAGATTAAAGATTTCTGGGTACCAACCCACAGAGCTGCATTTAGTAGGTCTAGGTGGAGTCTAGGAATATGTATTCTGCAAAGGTTCCTTGGAGGATTCTGATGTGCAGTCAGGCTGGGAGTTATTGTTCTAGATGGACAACAAGATGTTCTTGAGATGAATGAGCATGGCTCCTAGCAGGATGTCTAGGAGTCTTACCACAGTTGCCAACGGTGGGACACAAAGGAAACTCTGAGATTAGGCTATACCTCCCCATGCTGGTATTGAGTGCTTCCTGGGGTAAGATTCTGCAAGGGTTGCATTCTCCTTACCACCGCCGTGAGCACGAAGAGAGGTGTGTAGGCACTGAAGGCAGCTGCCAGCTTGCAGGCTTCTGCAGCCGACAGCAAATGGTGGTCAAACTCCTTGAGCAGGCCCTGTGGGAAAATAAGAAGCAAAGTGGAGAGATGATAATTATTTCTCCATTAGCAAAACTGGGCTTTGAATTTCCTTTGATTTTATTTCAAGATTTTGAGGGACAACTTGCCCCTTCTTACAAACCATTAAAACCAGTGCCAAAAAAAAAGGAGTGTACCTAAGGACCCCAGGGCATCAAGTATCCTTCCCCCAGCCACCCACACACCCTCCATTCCCCAACCATACCCCAGAGGAGGCCTATGAGGTGCAAAATATGTAATTCCTGCCCGGATAAAATAATTCAGATCAGCTTCTTTGGAGGATGGTAGCAATTCTTTGTCTAAAGGAACTCTACACACTTTGTAGCCAGATTAATTGATGATTTCTACATTATTATTGGCCAAGTGACTTTTTTTTTTTTTTTTGACAGGCAGAGTGGACAGTGAGAGAGAGAGACAGAGAGAAAGGTCTTCCTTTACCGTTGGTTCACCCTCCAATGGCCGCCGTGGCTGGCACGCTGCGGCCGGCGCACCGCACTGATCCGATGGCAGGAGCCAGATGCTTCTCCTGGTCTCCCATGGGGTGCAGGGCCCAAGCACTCGGGCCATCCTCCACTGCACTCCCTGGCCACAGCAGAGAGGTGGCCTTGAAGAGGGGCAACCGGGACAGAATCCGGCACCCCAACCGGGACTAGAACCCCGGGGTGGCGGCGCCGCAGGCGGAGGATTAGCCTAGTGAGCCGCAGCGCCGGCGGCCAAGTGACTTTTAATTGATGGTTTCACAGTATTCAGGATTCATTTATTCATTCTAGAAATATATAGTGAATATTTCCATGTTCTAAGCACTGTTCTAGATTTGGGGAGATAGCAGAAAGTAACCCAGCTATGATTTCACTGTTTTACTAGGGGGCAGGGATCAGTTAACACATAAAATCAGTAAAATGCATATTATTTGAGATAGTGATAAATCTTCCATAGAAAAATGATATGAGAAGGAGTCAGCCAGGACCAGAAAAATTTTATCTATCATGTCAACATCAACAAACAAGGTTACCACCCTTTTTCTGCTTTGGTCTGACAGAACAGCAACACCTTACTAAGAGTCATCTTACCAGTAGCAAGTGAGTATTGAGTGTGGTTGCTATGGTCAGTTCGGATGTTGAATAAAAATGATTCTATAGATGATAACAGCAAAAATCACTATTTCAATTCCAAGTGGGGAACAGTTTAATGTCTGCAATGAACTAGACCCGTCAGAGACTTGATTCTGCTCCCAATTCTTTCTTACTGGTTGGTCAACTGCAGAGATTACTTCATTTCTCTGGACCTCAGTTTATTTTTCTCTAAAATGGGAAGAGTATGTTCTGCTATACCTACCTCATGGAGTTTTAGGTGGCTGGACACATATCTTTTGAATTGAAAAGTGATATATATATATTAGTTATCTTCACTGTTGAAGAGCCTGGAACAAGTGCCTGATGCTTTGGTCTGGACAGATGGTGACTGAAGCTTTAAAATAATCATTGAGATGGCCCAAGTTTGGAAGCTGAATTTTGTGAAAGTTTCAAAGGAAGTAAATGGGTCTCAGAATGACTTTAATGCTCTCCATTCATTCATTCACAGGAAACACCTGAGCACCCACTGTGTGTTCGACACTGTGCTAGGTGCTGGGATACTGAAGCCAAAGAGGACCACACAGGTACCAGCCCCAGGATCACTCACACTCATGTGTAAGCGAGACACTGCTCCCTGACTACCCACCCACCAGAAATGATGGCAACAGTTTTCCAGGTGATGCCCCCTGCATCATATTTTTGAGAAATGATAATTACCAGGTTAATTTGTGGGTTGTTTTTAAACTGTTCATAATCTTTCTTGCTCATGGAAACAAAGATGTCTGCCAGTATGCCTAGTGATGTAGAAATGCCCTGTAAGGAAAACACAAACAAGCCACCGAGGGGGAGTTCAGGTTAATCACGGCTCTCCTCTCATGGCCCAGAGACAATGCTTAACTCTGCATAGGAACCATTTGCCTATAATTATTACTATGATACTAGAAATGCTTCTTTTTTTTTAAAAAAAAGTTTTATTTACTTTTATTTATTTGAAAGGCAGAGAAAGAGACAGAGAGAGCAAGTGATTGAATGAGCTTCCAGCCACTGGTTCCTATCCCAAATGCCAGCAATGGCTGGGGCTGGGCCAGGCTGAAGCCAAGAGCTTAGAACTAGGTCCCCAACATGACTGTCAAAGACCCAACTACTTGAACCATCACCTGATGCCTCCCAGGGTGCATTTTAGTGGGAAGCTGAATCAGAAGCAGAGTGGGGTCTTGAACCCAGGTATTCCCACATGTGATGCGGGTGTCCCAAGAGGCATCGTAATTGTTGCTCCACAAGACCCTCCCCACCGAGAAATACTTTTAAACTGGATTCCACAAGGATTGGTTAGATCATTACTTCTTGAGTCACATGGATCTAATATAAAGACAGCTATTTCCTGCTTGAGTTTCACTGGGAAATCCACACTAACTTGCCCACACTGCAGGCCTGAATCATTGGCCTGAGGAAGAGTTCTCACATCACATTCTACCTGTGCTAGAAGGGATCATTGACAGCAACTCTACTAACACAGCTCAGGCAAATGTAATAACCTCATGCTTCAGAGAAGGATGAAAACATAGCCACAGAATCACAGAGAATGGAAATTTCAGAGAGGAAAGTAAATGATGCTTCTAGATTTCTTCAATCAAGATGCCACAGAAACAATTAATTGAAGTCTTGGCCCATTCGACTTCAGGAAAAGTTATTTCATATATAATCAACTTGGTCATCTAGATTTTGTTATGGGATCAGATAGAGGTTTAACATTATAATAAAATACATGAATGGACCAGTAGAAACAAATATATAAATAGACAGTTATGAATGATTATGGAAGCTCTAAATATATGTCAGGACACAAAGATACAGCATGACACAGAGGGAAACTATTATTTGCTTCCGTTCCTAGGACCAGGGAGAATAAATTAAAATAGCACAGATGAACTTGATACATGATAATCTGGTGCTGTAGGGAGCTAATAATCACCCAAGGACAGATATAGGGAAGGAGAGAAAGAAATACTAGACCACCTTTTTATCTGGCTGGGGAAGCGTCATATAGCCTACGATTGAGGCCCATATCAATTCTGCTGCTTCATACCACATCCCTGAAAAAACAAACAAACAAACAAAAGGGTAGGGAAGAAGTTGGGGGAGAAACTGCTAGTCTCTGTTCCTGTGTTAAAAAATACCTTTGAAAACTAATTCAGAAAGAAAATTCATTGTCTCCTGTTGGGAAAACTTGAGGCTTGATAAGGTTGATGCAGCAATCTTTTCCCAACTTGTTTAATAGTTTTCCTATTTCACTGGGAAAGAGGATAATTATGTATTTTCTTTATAGTATGTATTATGTAGAAATAGTTATCTCTACTATTTATAAGATTAATAGTTATCATCTTCTATCAAACTTTTTCAAACTCTTTAGTCTGCACTTCATTAAGGAATAATTTAGTTTTGAAAGTTTGCTTGGAAAGCTCATGGATACTCCAAGGAATGCACAAATTTGGTGTTATGGTGGGTTTAGAGCAAGATGTCATCATACCACATGGGGTCCTGCTGAACAGTCAGAAGCTAGACATAATACTGACAACCTAAGGTTAACAGCCACTGCGTGAAACGATAAATTTCTCTAAGAATACTCAGTAGAAAAGCATTTTGTTTTATTAATATTTATAGCACTCCTAGGGTATTAAGTGTCATTCTCTTTTTGAGGAGGAAATTAGGGAGAGTGGGAATCAGCAACGTTGAGCTAGCCATGGTAAGACACCTTTACAGTAAAATCTCACAGCCAGACTTTGGAAATGGGCCTTGGGGGAAGGGATGTCCAATTCTGGTACCTAGCTTTTGCAGAATTTGCCCTCTGATCTGTATACAGACTGACTGCACCAGGATCTTGTCACTTTCACTGCTGTACTGCCAGGTACCTGGAAACAAACAAGAAAAATAGAATTGTGTGGAATTAGCAAAGAGACAGCCTACTCATAGAGAGCTGTTTTCACGAGCACACACAGTACCATTCTTAGAGAGTGTCTCATCTCCATATCTGGAAAAGGACCCAACCTGTGGCCTCCAAGGTGCTGAAGAAACAGAGTCCTGTCTGGCCTCCAACTCTCCTTCATACCGCGTGCTGTCCATGCTGGCTTCCTGTGTGTTCTCTAAATCACCTGCACTTACTCCTACTCCTGCTGGGCACAGACCTTTCCTCTGGCTCCCGAAAGGGCCAGCTCCTCCCAGTTCCAGCTTCAATGCTATTGCCTCAAAGGCCTTCCCCGATTCATTTGCCCACAGTATTACCCCTTGTCTGGTGGTTGCCTTGAGGACGGGCTCAATCCCACCCACCTTTGCATGCTGGAGTTGGTGACTCCACACTTGAAGCAATAGATTATGAAAGGGTTCATTACTCCCATAATGAGACTTTCTAGGGTGAGCAGGAAAGACAAGCTGGTCCATTTGACTTGAGTGGAGGGTGTGGTAGACAGTTTGGCTTTTATTGCGATTGGGCAGTGGGAACAAGGTAAAGCTTTCCGAGTGTTGGGCTGGGGTGGATTTTTTTTTCTTTTAAATCACTTTGTCTGGTGTGTAGCATAAAGGGCGGAGGAAGGCTGGGACCTGAAAGCTGCCAGGGAGCAAACATCAAAAATAGAGTCACATGCTACATTGCCCTTCCTTGCTCACTCTCTGTCTCATCACCCTCTCTGCTTTTGTCCTGGCTTTTCATCAGAGTATGTGTGCACAGCATGTAGAAGGCAGCAAGTGTAGCCACAAATGGGGGTGTATGGTTACATTTTCCCAAGTGGCTCCTCACTGAAAATATCGGTAAGTTTCAGGGAGCTTGCAACCAGAAGTCCAAGCACATGAAGCTTAAAAGTAGTGAACAATATCTTGTGGGAAATTGTGCTCAACATTTTGGAAAACTGGACTTTCTTTCATGCATGATTAGATATAGAAAGGTAACCCTTATCAAAATGACTTTTTCTTAACATTCTTGGCATGATAAAATTAATATTCTACACCATATCACTATATAGAGCCATAGCACACTCTCCTACACTCAGAGGCTTTTTGTTTTAAAGGTTTATTTATTTATTTGAAAGGCAGAGTAATTGAGAGAGGGAGAGAGAGAGGGAGAGAGGAAGAGGGAGAGGGATAGGGAGAGGGAGAGGGAGAGGGGGAGAGGGAGAGAGAGAGAGAGAGAGAGAGGACAGTGAGAGAGGAGAGAGGAGAGACAGAGAGAGATCTTCTATCTGTTGGTTCACTTCAAATGGCTACAGTAACCCGGACTGGGTCAGGCCGAGGCCTAGAGCCAGAAGCTTCTTCCAGGTCTCTTATGTGGGTATGGGACCCCTAGGACTTGGGCCATCTTCTGCTGTTTTACCAGGTGCATTAGCAGGAAGCTGGATAGGAAGTGGAACAGCTGGGACTTGAACCAGCGCCCAAATAGGATGCTGATGCTGCAGGCTGTGGCTTTAACACCCCACAGTGTCAGCCCTCACTCAGAGGCTTTCATTCCCATTTTTTTTTTTTTTTTGACAGGCAGAGTGGACAGTGAGAGAGAGAGGCAGAGAGAAAGGTCTTCCTTTTACTGTTGGTTCACACCCCAATGGTGTGAATCAGCACCGCGCTGATACGTAGCCAGGAGCCAGGTGTTTCTCCTGGTCTCCCTTGTAGGTACAGGGCCCAAGCACTTGGGCACTCCCGGGCCACAGCAGAGAGCTGGTCATTCCCATTTTTTAACAATGCTGCTACTGTGCCTTATCTGAGAACCACCAAGTTCCATTCCTTAACACTTACCATCCTCTCCAATGAAACAGGGAACTATTAGACCTTATATTTTTGTTCTAAGTTAGAGAAAACAGACACAGAGAAGTGAACCATTGGACCAGAGCCACCTCATTCATCAGAGCTAGCTCCAGCTAGTTTTGGGAACAGTGGATGTAGTGTAACCATCAGGTTTGAAGTTGCTGTGAATGAGCACTTGGGGACGGATGAGGGTAAAGGCCATTGTGCAGTATGGAAGTACCTACCCGTTGCTCCATTGTTGCTTATTAGACTGCTCAGAATATACTCTGCTTTTAAGAGCTTCCCTGGAAAGAAACAACCAAATGTCACATGATTAGTTGTGAACTGTACGAGTACTGCAAGTAGTTCATGCTCTAAGATCAATGCTTTGTAGCAGGCAACATAACTTCTCTAGGAAGCATTCTAGTTGAAACTTAAAAATCAATCATCAGGGAGGGTGCTGTGCTGTAGCAGGTTAAGCCTCCTCCGCGACACCAGCATCTCTTATGGCAATGGTTTAAGTCCCAGTGCTCCACTTCCAATCCAGCTCCCTGCTAATGTACTTGGGAAAGCAGTAGAAGATGGTCCAAGTGCTTGGGCCTCTGCACCCACGTGGGAGACCTGGAAGAAGCTCCTGGCTCCTGGCTTTGTCCTGGCCCAGCCCTGGCCATTGCGATCATTTGGGGAGTGAAACACAGGGTGGAAGACCTCTCTCTCTCTCTCCCCCTTTCTGCTTTTCAAGCAAGTAACTAAATCTTTAAAACATCAATCATCTATCACAGATAAAACTGAAGAGGAAAGATGCAGTTTTTAGGAGTTGGTAAGGTAAGGTGGAAGTTGTATAGCTTTCTAATTTATACTGTACAGCAGTGTCTCCTCTCTGTAAAAGCTCCATCTCCAGAGGTAAAACAGAGATGCCTATGAACAGAACTGCAGCATTGTCCCAAAGGGATTTGGGGGTAGGGGTTGGAGGAGGGTTCTTTCTAACATTTTTCACATACTTGGTTACTACCACTTAGGATGGGGCCTAATCTATGGTCAGCTGTTTTCCCTATGTGGCAAACTCAGTAATTCATCATTTTAATCATCTCTCTAAACCTCTAAGCCCCACAGGATCTGGCTCCTGGGACTTCTTTGACAACATTTCCAACTATTTTTTCCTCTTCCTCAGCCCCCCCCCCCCTTCAGTCAGAGTGGCCTCTTCACAGTCCTTTGAACCTGCCAGGCTTGTTCCCACATCAGGATCTTTGTACTTAAAATTATTTCAGCCTTGAGTTCTTTTATCCCAAATATGTCCAAAGTTTACATTGTTCTTCATGCCATGTTGCTGTTTACCAAGACACACAGACATGCATCTTATCTGTGGAAGATCCAAGGAGCTCATAACAATATCTTTCTCCCAGTGAGGTCTTTCGCAGTGTGACTTTGCCACTCCTCCATCTAGAGTGAAATCTAGAGGCTAGCATTTGACCTAGTAGTTGAGGTAGCTGCATCCTACACAGGATTATCTGAGTTCAGCCCCCAACTCTGGCTCTCCACTCTAGTTTCCTGCTAATGCAGGCCCTGGGATGAGGTGGTGCTAGCTCAAGTAGTTTGGTTTCTATCACCCACATGGGAGACCTGGACTTGATTCCTATTTCCTAGCTCTATCTCTGGCCCAGCTCTGGCTGTTGCAGGCATTTGGGGTATGAATCAACAGGTGGTAGCTCTCTTTCTCTTTTTATTTTCTTTCTCCATGAAATGAAATGAAACAAGTGGAATCTGGAGTTTATTTTTCCTCTCCTTTAGCCAGAACTAACACTGTTGCTGGTACCAGCAGACTGTGGTAGAAGTGACAGTGTGTATGTTTCTAGTCTAGGTTCTGAGAGCTTCAGAACTTCTCCATTCACATCCTAGATTCTAGGCCAATGCTGTGAGAAAGGCAAAGCAGCCACCTAAGAGGAGAACTGAGGTCCTCACCTGATGGTCCCTGCTGAGGGCTTAGCTGAAAGCCAACACCAGAGGCCTGCTGGGAGAATGAGATCATTTTGGATTTTCTAGTTGTCCCACTTTTCCAGCTGACATTACTACAAAATTATAAGGCATAATAGGGGCCGGCACTGTGGTGTAATGGGTAAAACTGCCACCTGCAGTGCCGGTATCCCATATGGGTGCAGTTCAAGATCTGGCTGCTCCATTTCCAATCCAGCTCTCTGCTATGGTCTGGGAAAGCAGTAGCAGATGGCCCAAGTCCTTGGGCTCCTGTACCCATGTGGGAGACCCAGAAGAAGCTCCTGGCTCCTGGCTAGTTTAGAGCCAACTCCAATTTGGGAATAATTGGGGAGGAACCAGAGGATGGAAGACCTCTCTGTCTCTGTCTCTTTCTCTCTGCCTCTCTTCTCTCTGTATAACTCTTTCAAATAAATAAATAAATAAATGTTTTTTAAAAAGGACATAATAAATTATTTTTAAGTTATTAAAAAGTTTTTTAAAAAGGACATAATAATTATTTTTAAGTGTGAAGCGGCTTGTAACAGAGGAGCACATAACAGAAATCAGGCACTTGAAATTGGAGAACCACTGCTACAGAAACTTAGTGACTGCACGAGTGCTCAGGAGACTGAAAGGCAGTGAAGAAAATTGTTACTGGAAATTGGAGGAAAGTAATACACATTGTACAAGGGCATTTCAAATAGTTCCTGGGAAAGGAAATAAAAGATAAATGTGTCTGAGCGCAAATATTTTTTGAAATGTATGCATATTTTTCTCATAATATGAATTTTCATGAACTTCTTGAATATTCCTTGTATGCATAGATTTCAAAATTTTTTGTGCCAAAAATAAATGTACATTTAAATTCAGTTTTCACAAATATTTCCAAGCACCTTGATATTGTGGTTGAAAGTTGGGCAATATGGTCTCCAGAAATCATGTGGAATTATAGGAAAAATAACCAATGAACTTGCCTATGTAGCTAAGGGATGCCCAGGATATTGCTGGAAGTACCAACAGGACCTTTTAGTTACCTAGGGAAAAGTAGAGAAACAGAGATAAAAGGAGTGAATTACTTTATCTTTTAAAGCAGGATTTAGAGGAGAGCATTGCATGGAAGGCCCAGAATAGTCTCATGAGGCAGTAAGACAATCTCAAAATAAACCAAAAACTGGAAGCAAAAGTTAAATTCAGGGCACTGTTAGGAAAATGTGGCCTCAGGTTCAAGATCAATTCAAAGGTGTGGCTGTAAGACTCTTTGTTAAGACCTCACACCTTCCTGCCTAACCAGGCAAATGAGCTCCTAAGGGTGCTATTCAATGTTACCCTTTTTAAAAAAGATTTATTTATTTGAAAGTCAGAGAGAGAGAGAGAGAGAGAGAGAGAGAAATAAGAGAGCTCTTCCATCCACTGGTTCACTCCCCAAATGGCCTCAATGGCCAAAGCTGGGCTGATCTGAAGCCAGGAGCCTGGAGCTTCTTCCAGGTCTCCCACATGAGTGCAGGAGCCCAAGGACTTGGGCCATCTTCTGCTGCTTTTCTCAAGCACATTAGTAGGAAGCTGGATCAGAAGTGGAGCAACCGGAACTTGAACCAGTGCTCATATGGGATGCCAGCATTGCAGGCCATGGCTTAACCTGCTACACCACAGCACTGGCTCCCCCATTGCCCCATGATTGGCAGAGCTCAAAGTGGAACTCAGAGATAATTACAGGCATTGTCTAACTTAATTACATCAAAGAGCTATCAAGTGTTCTGATGGGATTACATCATCTTGTTCTCAGAAGATCAAAGATCATCCAAAATGAAGAGACTTGTGAAAATCCAACTTTCTGTGGGCATGAAGTAGGCTGAGATATTTTGCTAAAAAATGTCTAATAAAAAAAAAAAACCAGAATGACTCAGAGAACAAGTCCAATAGATTAAGAGAATCACTCTCAAAGAGAAGAGATGAGCCCTAAACAAGGAACATTCTCTGTCCATGGAGGAGGAAGACTTGGGATATATGGCTGGCTGCACTTCAATTAGCATGGATGCAATGACTCCTTTAGAACAAAAGTGCCTTCGGAAGTCATCTTTGCATTGCATACTGCTTGTGTCGGAGGGTAGATAACTTGTCTTCTAGTTCATTAGTCTCTATGGCAGAAGCAACATCTGAGAAGACTTATCAGTTCTCAGACCTGATTCAGAGGATGAGACCCTTTTATGGGATGACAGGGGAGTAAAAGTATCTGTGTGTGGCAAGGATGTGAATTGTTGTGACCAGAACTTGAACAATGATTAAATTGTTTTCTTAGGGACCGGAGCTGTGGCACAGCGGGTTAAAGCCCTGGCCTGAAGTGCCAGCATCCCATATGGGCGCCGGTTCTAGTCCTGGCTTCTCCTCTTTCGGTCTAGCTCTCTGCTATGGCCTGGGAAAGCAGTAGAAGATGGCCCAAGTCCTTGAGCCCCTGCACCCACGTGGAAGACCTGGAAGAAGCTCTTAGCTCCTGGCTTTGGATCGGCACAGCTCCGGTTGTTATGGCCATCTGGGGGAGTAAATCGGGATGGAAGACCTCTATTTATGTCTATACCTCTCTCTATAACTCTGTCTTCCAAATAAATAAAAATAAATCTTTAAAAAAATAAATTGTTTTCTTAGGCTACTAAGTTTTGGGGTGGTTTGTTTTTGAATCAAATAGTAGCTAAAACAGGGGCACCTCCACCCCACACCCTTAACTTTCTCTGCCCTATTTTTGGCAGAGATCCTTGGCATTTACTGCCGTAAGAACTAACTATGAGATGAGCATCTCTAATACAAAAATCCAAAATGTTCCAAAATCTAAAGCTTTGTAAATGCCGGCATAATGTCACAAGTGGAAAAGTCCACATTTGACCTTATGTGATGAGTTGCAGTCAGAATGCAGGTGCATGAGTTGCAGTCAAAATGCAGGTGCATGAAATATATTGCATGAAATTACCTGCAGCCCATGTGGATAAGGTGTCTACGATACAGAAATGGATTTGGGTTTACAGTTTGTTCCACACCCAAGCAATCTCATTATGTAAATACAAATTTTTCCAAAACTCCAAAAAATCTGAAATCTGAAATACTTCTAGTCCCAAGCATTTTGGGTGTAGGATACTTAACTTCTGTGCATATGACACATGTACTTATTGCTTATCTTCTCCAGTAGAATGTAAAATATAAGGCAGTAGGTTTCTTTTTCCATTTTGTCCACTTCTCTGTCCCACGAACCTCTGACACTAATTGGCACATAGAAGATACTCAATAAAGAGTTGTCATTCATCCAAATAAACAAGTGAGTTGTGCCAAGGGCTGTGCTAAGAGTTGGAGATGCGGTGATGAATCAAACACAGCCCTGTCTTCGAGATAATGATAATAAGAGCTAACATTATTATTGCTCCAAATTATATGAAGTGAATCTTAGACCTGGCAACCTCTGAAGGGCTGCATCTGTGGGGTGTTACAGGCGGAGTTACAGAGAGACAGAGACAGAGACAGAGACAGAGGCAGAGAGAGAGAGAGAGAGAGAGAGAGCGAGCTTTCATCTGCTGGTTCATTGCCCAGATGGCGGCAACTGCCGAAGCTGTGCTGATCCAAAGCCGGGAGCTCCTTCCAGGTCTCCCACACATCACCCCAAGTTTTGGAACATACCTGCACTCTTACTGGCTGGTTTTTGTTTGGGAATGGCTTCAGCTACTCCAAAACTTCATCAAAATTTAAACGTTCAATGGTTCCCATAAAAGGCAATGCACAGGGGGACAATACGGCATGAGTGAAGAAGATGGTGGGCCGATCCAAAGCCAGGAGCCTGGAGCTTCTTCCGGGTCTCCCACAGGGGCCCAAGGACTTGGGCCATCTTCCACTGCTTTCCCAGGCCCTAGCAGAGAGTTGAATCAGAAGTGGAGCAGCCAGGTCTCAAACCGGTGTCCATATGGAATGCAGGCACTGCAGGTGGCGGCTTAATCTGCTATGCCACAGTGCCAGCCCCAAGCAGGTCTTTTTTTATTTAAATAATCAATCGCCTCTGACATCTCACCATGTTGAATGCTTGGTCCTTTGGAATGGGTGAAGACTAGAAAGTGCTGGATCAAAGAGGGTGATGGTGAGACTATGCTGGCCTCTCTTGTTATCTGTATGCCTTTTCCTCAACCTTAGAATACAGCCCCTCATTTCTCCTCTCCAAGAGAGCCACCTCTCCTGTACTTCTTTCCTCACCCCTACTCTTACCTCCTACTTACACTCCTGCCTTACCCCATCTATGACCCCTGCCCCATTCTCTCTGAGACACTCAGTGTAGGCGAGGGCTCCAGAGATGTTTGGGAGCAGAGATTTTACATATAAAAGATTTCTCTCTGCGACTGTGCTCCTCTTCATGTGGAACAGCCAACCTCAACTCTTTGGTAACGAGATCCAGGGCCTTTATCTTAGACATATGACAACAGCTAAGTAGCCTACTGTCCATGATGGCAGGAGGGCCTACTCCTTACCAGGAGAAAAAACGCCATGAGAAACACGAGAGACACAAAACAAAACCAAGCAACCAGCCAAAGGAAACCTGAAAGATGAGTTGGGCTGTGTTAAGAAAGAGCTAAGCTGTGACTACACCTGCTTATCCTGTGAGCTCAGCTCCATGCCACACCACAGCGATCCTGTATGTCACAAACCATGCCACACTGACTCTGCTCCAAATTCTATTGCTGAGAGCTGATATTAGAATCTGCCTGGCCATGCCAGCTCTCACCATTCTGTCTCCCCGCCCCTTGCCTCCTACGCTCTGCTCACGTGTCATTCCATCCAATACAATCAGAAGGAACCTCAGTTGTTAGTTTTCACTCCTCAGTTGTTAGTTTCCACTCCGGTTCCAAGCATTATAAACGCTATTAGAGTCATCTAAAAAAAAGCGGGCTTTTCCCAGGTTCAAGTCTGTCTCCCTACAGCTACTCTAGAAAAGCAAACAAGGAGGCGCAGCCACAATTGCCACAAGTGAATGAGCATGGGCTTTTGAAACGTGAGCCTCCCAAAGCCCGGTTCTCCAGGCCCTTTCATCTCTGTGCCTCTCTGCATTCAGCGATTGTCCTAGTTAGTGCAGTCCGCAGAGCTCCTTTTCAAAGGAGATGAAGAAAGGAGATCCCCACCCGCTTAAAGACCAGAATTATTCAAATAACAGCAAGGGCTAAACCCAATCAACACACGAGCCGAGCCGAGCCAGGCCTGCTTCTGGAAGAGGGAACTTGCCCTCCCTTTGCATTTTTGGGTCTTCCACTGTTGGGAATGAGAATAGCAGGGTACACTTCTCGAAAACTAACGGTTATCCGTCCTTTAAAGAATCCCAGAATTCCCGGGAAGCGGACTTCGCTGTAATACAGAACAGACCCCGCTCCCCTCCAGCCCCCTGCCACACCACGTCTTAACTCGAATGTCAGCCTCATTTTTCCTTTCACTCAAAGTGACAGGAAAAGGGGGTGGGGAAGAGACTTTAAGACCTAATCAGGTACTGTACCGGTGTTCAGAGTGATGAAAAAACCCCTCAAATTACTGCAGTGGGGTTGTCAGCTCCATTGTGCGCTTAGTCAAGTGGCCTTTGCAAAGGAGACAGGAGAGCGAGGAGAAAATAGTAGAATTCTAATCTGCTTTTTAAAAGCTCTTGCTCCGAAGTATAGCAATTCAGATGCCCCTGTTTGAAAGCAGCAGGACTGATTTGTGAGAAGACAAAAGCTCCAATTAGTATTTTCCACACCCTTTCACAATTTTCTCTCCTGCCTTTGGCTCTGAAACCCTTTATGCCAGGGCCTTTGTGCGGGCGAAGAGGCGGGTGGAAGGGCGCGGGGGCGGGGATCCCGGGCGCGGCGAGCTGGCACGCGGGGCCGGGTGCCCGCGGCCTTCCCGCCCAGGGCAGGCCCCCACGCGGAGGGAGCTTACCTGAGTTGACGGAGATTCGGGCTCTGCGAATAACCACCTGCGGGGCGATGGGCGTGGTGGGCTGCAACCTGTGCAGGCCTTTGGCGACCTGCAGCAGCTTCCCGGAGACGTCCAGCCCATACAGGAAGCGGTCGGTGAGGAACACGATGGCCGAGGCGGTGGCACAGTCCCGGGCTAGGATGGAGGCGCGCAGGGCCGCCTGCAGCAACAGGCAGACAGCACCGTGAGCCGAGCAGGGTGCTGGCAGGCCCAGCACCCTCCTCTGGCTTTTAGGTATTTGCAGTCCAAGAGCCCCACCAAGCCTATAGCTAGCAGGAGAAATGTGCTTTATTAGGTGACTAAGGCAAAGGAAAAAAAATAGGAAAAGCCCTAGGAAAAGTCCAAATCAGTTGTGGGATAAAATATTATTTCCTTCCTCCTGTCTTCCCCATTCCATTTCTAAAAGTATACAAGGGTTAAGTGCCCATTTCTTGTGCTTAAAAGTTCCAACGTGAAAGCTTACAGGGTGAAATTCAAAGCACCCATAGTTTCCCTATTCCTTATCTTTTTCTTCCCTTTCTTACCCCAATTTTATTCCCATTCACCTACATGATGGTTTGGGATCCGTCCTTTCACAACCTCTTCTATCCTTTTATCTATATGGGGAGTCTTCAATATTTGATGGAAAATGCATATATCGGAAAACTTATGCATGGCTTTCAAAAATTTTTACATCAGAGTAACACTATCTTTGACTTCCGTTTGTCTTCAATTTTGAAGTACCTTTAGACTTAGACAGGAATTGACTCCTTGCCTTGCTTTGCCTTCTCCCAGCCTTCGTTGAGTCCCCTCTCTGTTTCTCTCTCCCTCTCCTCTCTCTCTTCCCCTCTCCTTTTTCCTCTCTTTCCCTCTCTCTCCCTTTCTCATAACTGAGATCACGCTAGATGTATTGTTCTGATGCTTTCTTCTTTCACTCTTCATTACATCTAGGAGAATTCTCCACCCCAGTCTATAACATGTGCTTCACTTGTTAACTACGCTTTAATTAAGAAATACAGGATTTTAGATAGCATTCTAAATTAGTTTAATCATGTTCAGTTGATGAATAAAAGAAGAGAAAGAATAACACAGGCACAAAATGGAAGTTTAACACAAAGAGTGAGAAACATAAAAACGAGACAACTTTTTATGCAACAAATCATCAGCTTTTGTCTGTGAGACCTTGGTTCTACCATACAGCTAGCAGTTCAAGTGAACTTATTACCCAACAGCATTTTCCTCATATGCTTACCTGAATGAAGCAGGCTCATGCACAGATGAAGCCTAGAAAGTGTTGTAAGCATCGCCCCTTTTCCTACCACCACATCACCACACTACGCACTGCTTGCTTCACCACATGACCTACGATATTATGTACGTAAGTGTGTAAGTACTGGGCAAAATGATGCCAGGCAGTGCTGTGCTTTATATGCATGAATTCTCTCAGTCCTCCCAGCAATTCTGAGAGGCAGGTTCTATTACTATCCCCATTTTGCAGAAGGGAAACCTGAGACTCAGAGGCATTAAGGAAAGTGCCCTCGGTCACAGGACCTGCGACTGACAGCAAGGGCTGAAGTGCAGGAGATCCAGGCTCAGACGCTTCATGCTCACACCCCTTGTTACTATCCTGAATGAGGAGAGCTTCAGGAGCGGGAAATCAGTGACCTGATGCTCATAGCTACGCCAGCCAACACCATGCATGCTGTCAGTGTTGCGGCACTAACTGATCTAAATGTGGTTTAACTTAGCAAACTCAAAACAGGAGACCTACGTTCTCAGTGAGAGCCAGTAGTTTCTGCTTTTCAAAATCTGCATGGAACAGCTCTTTCAGCGTTTCAGTGAGATACTTACATATCTCTAAGAGAGCTTGACCTAAACTTTTACATGTCACCCATTCCAGGATTCTGCCTATTCATTCGCATGATTTGATTTCTGGCTTATATTTTTTAATTCTTTTGTTATTTGGTCATCTACAGCATTGGATATTTAACATAAGATTTACATTTACAGTGTTCTTGAAAGAGGTAACACCTACCAATGGCCCTTCTCTTTGCAAACTGATGCTTTCTTAACTTGTTCAGACTTCTATTTACACTATCAACATGTTCACTAAGTAAGAAAACTTGCATCTGGGTTAATATTTTTGTTCTAAATCAATCTTTGTTCTTAGTGCAACAGAGGGAAACATTGCTTTTCTCCTCTCGATGTTTCCTACACTGTGAAGGAAGCTCAATATCTGGAGCACTCCTGGCCTCTCTGACTTATTCATTCTGCTCCGTGGGAGGCAGAATGAGTCATCTAATGAGTAATTTCAAGAACAATCAACTGGGCATGCATAGCTTTACTATTCCCCCACCTGCCCCTTTTTAATTTTTTCTTGGGAACAAACTGTTTAAACTCACAGAGATTGGGAACGTCCATCCCAAATGCTGTATAAGGTCTGCAAAATCATTTGGTCTGAGCCTCCCAAGGCAACCACAGGTAGGGCTTGAAACTCAAGACAGCCCCATGGCCTAGTAGCTTAAGCTTCCATCTGCAGTGCTGGCATCTCATATGGGCACCAGTTTGAGTCCTGGCTGCTCCACTCCCAATCCAGCTCCCTGGTAATGGCTTGGGAAAGCAGTGGAAGATGGCCCAAGTGCTTAGGCCCCTGAATCCACATAGGAGACCTGGAAGAAACTCCTGGCTCCTGGGTTTGGATTGGCCCAACTCCAGCCATTGCAGCCATTTGGGGAGTGAACCAATGGTTGGAAGACCTCTCCCTCTCTCTCTCTCTCTCTCTCTCTCTCTGTCTGTAACTCTGCCTCTCAAGTAAACAAATAAATCTTAAAGAAACCCCACAGATTTTAAAAAAATAAATCTACAACAGGCCAATTTTTAAGTTGATAATTTTGTATGGCCTGCAAATGAGTCATAAATATTCAAATGGCCCTTGGAAGAAAAAGTTGCCTACCTCTGTAAGGAAATACAGATTCTTTGCTGTTCTTCTGTTTCATAAATCTACACTTGATCTTAGCCAAAAGGCCAAGAAGCGATGTTCCATAAATCTAATAAGTCACCCTATCTGGGGTGTTCTGCTAGACCAAATAATTCTTGTGACTGGATGGAGAAGTCTGCCTAACTGGCAGATTCCCTAAGCTCTAATTGGAAACTCTATCTTCCTACCCTTTATCAGAATTGAAAGGTAATCCTTACTTTATTGTTTGCCTAACTTTTGTTTTGTTTCTCAATTTGCTCATAATCCAGGAGAGAGAGGTATGATTTATTGTATATTCCCAAAGATGTTGACATTAAAAATTGCTTTTTGGAGGTATTCAAAACCGCCAGCTCCTGTCTTTGAAGTAGAAGGTGTTGTGCTAATTTGTCTTGACACCTTTCTCCACTGCCCCTGCAAGATCAAGGCCATCCTGATAGCAGAGAAGTCACTGATATCTGGTCCCATGGCTCTGTGGTCTGGCTTAAAAAATGAATTCAGCATTCACTCCTTTTTAATTCTGTCTATAGTTATTATCAAATGAAGTGATGGATACCAATTATTTTAATTTGATCATTAAATGCATGCATGTATTAAAATATTACATTATACCCCATAAATATGTACAATTATTGTGCATCAATAAAAGTAAATAATCTAATAACAATTAATTCATCAATACAAACTAATAAATATAGAAAGAATTTGCTTTCCTCGTTCACAGTGAGCAAAACAAGGAGTGTGAGCTTGTGGGCGTCTGGACCTGGATCTCCCGTGCTGATCCTGTTGTTTCAGAATGGAAAGAACCAGAAAGTGGAGTGTGGCTAAGCCACATATATGGACAACAGAAAGAAGGGTCCAAATCCAGTTTTTCACAATTCTGTTCTTAGAGTTACATGTCTCTTTTTTTGACCTATCTTCATAACACCTTTTTATTAGTTGACTTGAGTTAGCTTCTGTTCCTTTCAACCAAAAAAAAAAAAAAAAAAAAAAAAAAAACTGTTGAAGTGCTCAAAACTCTTTTTGAGCTTTGTTAAATAAACTATCAATCTGAAAAACACAAGTTTCAGTCATATCAACTGGCATTTCTTAAATATAAACTCAAAGATGGAAAAGCAAGTTTATGGTGTTATGTGTGGTCTGCTCTGACTAATAAGGCCAGTCTCTGAGCGAGTGTCTTTTCAATGCTAGGGGCACCTAAATATATGTTGCCTTGTAACTTCAGCTGCTATCTTCAGAACTTGCAGTCTCTGCCACTGTCAGAGTAAGTAAAATTTTTTTTTTTCAAAGTAGTACATAACATGAGATTATTTCTGTTAACCATTTTTAAATATACAGGTCAGTAGTGTTAAGTATATTTACATTGTTAAGAAACAGAGCTTCAGAACTTTGTATTTTGCAAATTTGAAACAGTATACCCATTAAACAGTAATCTGCTCTCTTCCCTCCTACCAGCTCCAAGAAGCCACCATTCTACTTCCTATTTCTATGAATTTAACTACTTTAGACCCCTCATGTACATGGAACCCTAAAGTATTGGTCTTTTTGTAACTGGTTTACTTCATTTAGATTGTTATCTTCAATGTTTACCCATACTGTAGCATGCTACTACAGGATTTCCTTTCATTTTAAAGTTGGATACTATTCCATTGTGTGTATAAACCACATTTTGTTTACCCACTCATCTGTTGATTGATATTTGGTTTGCTTGACATTTGGTTGCGCTTAGGCTATTGTGAATGATGCTACTATGAACATACAAATGCAGAGATCTCTTTGATACCTGATTTGAGGTATATTCTCAGAAGTGGAATTTCTAGGGCTGGCATAGTGGCCTTATGGGTTAAGCTGCCCCCTGCAACGTCAGCACCCCTTATGGGCACTAGTTGAGTCCCAGCTGTTCAACTTCCAATCCAATTCCTTGCTAATGCACCTGGGAAAGCAGCAAAAGATGGCCAAATCCTTGGGCCCCTGTACCCATGTGGGAGACCAGATGAAGCTCCTGGCTTTGGCCTGGTCCAGCTCCAGCTGTTGCTGCCATTTGGGTAGTGAACCAGTGGATGGAAGACCTCTCTTTCTGTATCTTCCTCTCTCTCTTTAACTCTGCCTTTCAAATAAATAAAATAAATCTTTTAAAAAATTAGTAAAAAAGAAGTGGAATTGACAGATTATATGAAACTTAATTTTTAATTTTTTGAGGAACCTCC